GTGAATAATATTATGTTGTGCACAGTTCACCCAGTGATCTTGACTGATGTTTATTTTCGTTTTGTTCTTTTCAATGTGATCTCAATATAGGGTATTGCAGCAAATATTTTCAGACGACGCCATCCAACCCATACTGTCCATGCGGATAYCCATACTGTTTGTAGAATAAATTTTCTTTTTTATATTGTACTTATTATCGTACAGTATTATAAGTTATAATGCGTACTTATGACATCGTATTAATTTGTATCATACAGAGTGATTCACCGATCATGCTTTTCCCCTTGATTTTCTTTAGGAGTGAAGTTAGGTACTACTTAGGAGAGTTCTGTTGAGTTACAAACTTCTGTTTTTCAAAAGGGAACTTTCCAGATTCTATTTTACAGTAAATTATTCAGCGGCTATTTTTCAGAAAATTGTCATGCATCAAAATTGAAATTCGAACAATAAGTACATATTTACTTGAACTAACTACAGTTTTTAAGTTATTTAAAATTACTCAAAGATAATAAGAATAATTGGTTCATGATAACATGTTTATAAAATATTAAAATTATGGTAATGGTAATTTGAATATTCTAGTAATTAATACACTAATCTTTCAACATTAATGATTTTTAAAGTTGGTCCAAGTAGAATACATTCTAATTCTAAATGTTATATTATATCTATTTTATTTTTCTATGAAACTATTTCTAAGGAATTTTATACTCAATGTCATAAATATTTTAATGACTGAGAAACTATTAACTACTAACTACTGAGTAACTATAAGTTACTTACATCAACAGTTTGAAAAAAAAATTACCCACAAAAAATGTACAGTGAAAAATGAGAATTCTCATATTAAATACTGCAGCGATACACTCCTTAATAGTACAAAAAAATATCTAGTATTTCCTTATGTTAATATTTTCGTAGGTAGTTTTCAAATACAAATAGAATTAATGGAAAACCGGGAATGAGCATGCTTGGTAAATCACTCTATATAATAGTATGTATAGGTAGCTGAAAACATGTGTTTGTAATAAATTTGATAGAATTCAATGAAATCCTCTCCTTTCTCAGGGACAAAGTATTATACAAGAGGGATGGCATCGCAATATCAAATGAAAGAGAACAAACTATTATTAAGCATTTTGACTTAAATAAAGAAAATCGAAAAATAAATTTGATGGTATGACGCACAATAAATAATTTAGTACACTTTCGTTTCTGTAATCAATACTCAGTCATATACCTACCTGAATAAAATATTTACTTGCGATATAGACGCGTGTTTCTCCATTAATAGTATAATGAAATTAGATAGGTTTGTTTGGGTTATGAGAGGTTCCCTATACATTAACAAATTATAGCTGGCGCCATCTTATAGACTATATGACAGGGATGGTGAACCTATGACGCGTTAAAATTTTAACAATATAATAAAACAATGTAATTCAATGAAAATTAAAAAAAAAAAAAAAAAAAAAAAAAAAAATAGTGAAGAATACCTTTTATTTTTTATTTCTAAAACATAAAGTTGCCAATTATAAAATTTTGTAATTCATTGCTTACAGACTTAATATTATTTTGTACTTTTAACAAAATAGCTCATTCCAAAAACTCAAATATTATATTACCCTTATACGAAAAACCTTAATGAGTTATCTCAAATCAAAACAGAAGAAAAGTACACTATTGGATAAAGTTTTAACGTTGCTATTTTGTTTTGTTGAGACATTTGAGACCATCAAAATTCACAGCTACTGAAATGAATAAATTAAAGTGCATGATAAAGTATTTTTATAAGACACCCATAATTCTCAGAAAAATGTGTTTAAAATTGTAAATTGTAAATTGTATTGATATCTATATAAAAGAATGAACATACTATTACTGGTTAGTGATATATGTTTTTCGTTATAAATAATTTGTTATATACAATAACTAGGTATTTGTGGCATTTGAAATTTTAATTTTAATTTTTTTAGTATGCCCACCCTACAGTGGCGTAATTTGGGGGGGGGGATTTGGGTGTCATATCCCCCCATGACCTTTTTTTTTAAGATTGATTAACTACATGCCTATGTACTTCTTTATCTAATAATATTATTATTTTTTTTTTATACATAAATGTATATATTGAAATCAAATACCTCGGCGAATTAATCTTATTATAAATAGCCTATAAAAACTTTACAGAAATAATACAAAAAAAACAAATCCTTTATGCTAGTTGTACATAAATACTTCTTACCTAGTTCGTTTTAAATGCAGCCACGCAAGTTTATAAGTATCACTATTGCAATATGAATATGTTTTGTGTAAGTTTTGAGTTTGTTTATGCATTGTGTAGTGGTACAAAAATAAACCACCGAGCAGTAAAGTATTATTTTATCGTGGATCGACGACGATCGAAAGAMTATTGTCATATCTGTCCTATCTTATCCTATCCTAATATTTTTCCGTAGTCCTATTGAACTAAAAATAACTTATCGATCTGTACACTTAATCGGAATTTATTCCATGTCTCATGTGTACATAAATATATTGCTCTGAATTCTGAAAGGTGCTTATAATAAATACTTTTTATTATTTTTTATGGGAGGGGGGTATAGGTAAAATGTTAAAATATTTTATCCCCCCCACAAACATGGCCAAATTACGCCACTGCCACCCTATCTCCGCAGAAATGAATCAAATTATTCATCATGTCTGCGACCATAGCTAGACCGAGTTATAGTGGCGCTCTTGGCTAGATCACAATTTTGCGGCCCCCCCCCCATCATCCGTAAGAATGTATTACATTTTATGCTCCCCCACTTATTCAATATGTTGCGTCCCTACAGACACACAGCACCTTTACAGGCCCTCGGACCGGCTTTGTCAGTGATGTTTTATTTGTAGATATGATACGAATAAAAAATTACAAACCATGAACCTTCAAGTAAATTTATAAATATTCAGTAATTTTGCTTAAAAACACTATACGATTTTAAGTCGGTAGGAAAAAAAAGTAACTTGTATAATATATAATAAATAAAAAAGGAAATTTAAATTAAACTTTGTACTTCAATATATAGTTCAAAAAAATTTTGTATTAACTTTTAACTTGTTTAAGTTAACCAAAACTTAAACTTTTGATTTTTCTAGTGTAATTGCATTATAATAACTTAACCGAATTAAAATAATTAAATTAATTTTCTCAGCTTTGAATTATTGCACATTTTATTGATTAAAAAATTGTAAAATTTAAAACGTCTTATCCCGCGAAATAATAGCTAAATGTAAAATGGATATATTTTAAGGAATTAAATAATATATTTTGACTGTTTTTTTAAATGTTTAATAGAACTTCAACATTCGAACTCTAATGATGATAAAATGCAACTATATTGTTATTGAACAATAACAATATGAAGTACTACAAAATCCGTGACAAATAAGGTTGTTGTGGTTGCTTATTATTACTGAAGCTGAATAACAACTAAGCTGAAGATGTTTTTGCGAGCGTTTTAACTGCGGTTCATTAGCACAGATAAAATATACATAGGTATATCTACCTATATCAGTTATTACTTATTATGAAAATCAAACACAATTATTGTAATAATAATTATTATAATTCCATTCGAGAGCACTATTACCCTTGGGAGAACACTTTGCGTTAAGCTTTGATATTCTCGCATAGGTATATATTATTATTATATGTTAAACAAACAAACCATCGAAAATAATCACCAACGATTACTGTATATACTAAATAGTAAATATATTGAATACATAATTATTATATTGTGCACACACTTAACGCCGTGTCCTACGTGAATCYGGCGAGTGCGAACGAATTCTATTCTGGCTATGCTGTTCCGCCGCTGTGCGGTGCGTCCGATGTTTTGTTTTTCGCCGCACTTTCCGGACTCACGTAGGACACGGCGTAATGGTATACATCTTACATGTCGTATGTCATTAAGATATCTATACTTATTATGTTATACGCTCACGCCGATGAAAGATTRTAATCTAATTATTATCATTGTGTAGTCATCGCGAAAATTATTGACAGAAACGTTTTGATGTTTATAAATATAACAGAATCACAGGTTTCTAGTTCACTATATTATGACATACTAAGTAGGTACATTAAATTGTTAAACAATACTACGAACTCTTTGATTATAGTCCCTTTAAACGACCATGATTTATGTTGATAAAAATTAACTCGAGGCCTGGTGTGGCTTACTTGTTGTCCTTAGTCATCAACTTGTTCCAAGGTCAAGCACCGACTAGTTCTCGGATGGGTGACAACCCAGGATTTTTACTGACGARTCCTAGCCCCGCATATACGAAGTGTCTTCAACCAACCGTAAGCATCCCTCTCTTAAAATTCTAATGAGCATAGTTTCGAATGATATTTAGATCAATAAAAAAAAAAAAAAATTAAAAATTATAATATATATTATAAGAACATTGCAAAAATGTATAGGCATCCCTCCACTTATTTTGAGCTACTTCGATCACTGTAAATCGGTACAATAGTTTCTGAAATTATAAAATTCACATTGCAACATTATACAGTTTGTTTTGAATATTATGAAAAATTACACAATTTTTATTTCGAAACATAAAATATGTGATAAGATCTGCAGAATTCTAATAGTGTTTTACCTATAATTTGTTTTGGTTTCTTAATTTTGGCTAAATATAAAAAAAAATCAACTGCCAGTCTCCAAATAATACAGTTCTTCGATGACAAGTAACTATAACCCTTGCAAAAGTTGCTCGTAAAAATGAAACAATTTCACGTAATTACATCTCAAATGAATAATATTGTATAACTTGWATGAAGCATATTATCGTATTTGAAAAGAAACAGTATTTTTATTTCTWTAGAAGGCATCTTTGTATTACGTAGATACTTACTTGATACTTTTTGCCCAAATCCATTTCGCTGCAAAACAATATCCTTTAAAGTAATTAATTTGTCGACAAGCTAATGAAAGTGAAATTAATAATCAATAATTTAAAATTGTTTGACAACGGATATAATATTTGCCTGTGTGTAATATGTATGATGCAGTTTTGCTTTTCGCATGAAATACGATATTTCGGAATTTCGTGCAATTGAAAAGGATGTCCGGGGCGAGCGTAACGAGTGGCGATACTTAGAAACTGAAAGCGAGGGAGCACAGACATTTTTTAGCACAATAAAATACACACTTTTAAGGTTTTTTTCCGCACAATTCAATTGAAAGCGAAATCAATGGAGGGCGGAACAATATCACTGAGAGTTCGTGTTCGATTTCACTAGAAATACCATATGCTCGAGTTGCAATGTGGTACGTAAAAATATTATTAAACCTTGTGTATATTTTTTTTACGTGAATAGGTATCCTATTATGCACCATAGCCGATCAGATATTATAAAACATATATGCATCACGATGCAACGCAATATCAGGTACTCGATATTGCGATCTAACTTGAAAAAATATATTTTTTTGTAGATCAACAAATAAAATGTACTATTAAAAACCTAATACCAACCAGAGGTACTAGGTATGTACAAAATAATTA